TATACGTCACATTCATTTGCTAACATTATTCCAGATTAGAATGTGACTGGTGATAAGACAAAACTGCGATCAATATTACCTCTCCTTATATCCGTTATTTATCTATTTACTAATCACTTGAAAATATTGTATTTATTCTTTATTATAAAGTAAAATAAAAATAAAGTAACACCCTCAATGAGGGTGTGTGAGTTCAAGATAAACTTTTGATAATCATATTCACTAAAATATCCGCTTATATATACATTTATAACGTGCTTAACACATGCCCTACATTAATTTAGCCAAGGAAGATATTAGGTTATCATGATATAATTTTCACTCAATAAAGTGTCAAAAAAACGGTACCGTTCAAAATATACTGCGTCATACGGATGAATATAGCATAGTTAATTATTTTATTAACGATAGATGGTCTTTGCCAGACATGATAAGATATAAAAAGACGTGGATTTTGTAATGCCAAATGGTGCATTTTCTTTAAAACCAAAAATGAGTAATATTATTTTTATTCAATTCGAGCAAATAGTTAGAAACTCATAGACTCATATCTCTGGATCAGTGAAATCGTGAATACCATCAAAAAAAATGAAAAATAAAAATAAAGATCAATGAAGACCAGACGGTCTGATTTGACGTATGATCTATATGAGAGTCGTTCAACTATCTTAAGGATATACCCATGTCATACAAACCGCTTCAAAACCGTCAGTTAAAATTCATGTCCAGCTTTCAGTTATACTTTATTAAAATCTCATCAAAATCAACCTCTAGCATAACAATAAAAGAGCATTGTAAATTATTGAAATACAAAAAGTCACTTATCATTATTTTACATCATACATGTTCAAGAAAATCAATTTATACTGAGACAAATGAAAAAGACGAGTTACAACATAAAATAAAATGAATTAAGTACATGTTCTGTTATTCTAACTACGACTATACGATAAAAAACAGTTAATAAAGAAGTAGTACATATTATAATAATAATCATGTAATATGTAAAAATCGAATGTTTTTGATAAAGTAAAAATATTTGAAACAAGAAAATAAAAGTGAAAAACGATATTTAATAAGAGTCTTTGTAACATAAAAATGAACCAATAAAATCATCCTGTAATGCTACTTGTGGTGCAGGCTGCACTGTTAAATTACCAGCACTACTTCTTTTTCTCTTCAATTCATTGCGTCTTTTTTGAAGAATGCAGTCATGCAAGGTTGTCCATTCAAACCGTAATATTGCATGATTCAGCTTGAATCTCTATCGAACTGCTTCTAAATAATTAGAATCAAATTTAAAAAGTGACTATGATAAAAACTAATTTTTGTCTTACCTTTGATAATTAAGTATCATGCATCCTTTATAAATTCATCTTCAGTAATGGTTTTTATTTCTTCTACCGTAAATAACTTATCCATTGCAAGTGCACCATAACGATCCATTTGAGTTTGAGCACCATATAACTGAAACAGATCTACAGATGCTTCTTCTGAATTGACATAAATCTAAAAAAAACAACAGCCAAAAGCTCATAAGCAAAACTTACTAAATATAACTCACTAATGTAGATTTAAATGGAAAATCGTCAACGATTATATTTTCATCACCAAATTGATCACCATTTAATGCGACATTGATCTTGAAAATACAAATTTGTTATTTAAAACGAAAAATATTGATAGAATTGATATTTACTTTTTTCTTCGATAATTCGACGCGAATATTTATATCCAAAAATGAAATTAATTGTTCGAGAAATTTCTAGACAAATTAACAAACAAAACTGGAAAATATATACATAGATATTATAAACTTGAAAAATTATCTTCAACAATCGATTCATTCATTATGTCGTTTATCTAATGAACAAGTCTTGAACAATTTTAATCGATTCAATAAGAAAGAAGAAAGCGACATATCAGATTAGCTTTCAAATATGAGTTTTGTTTCTCTAAATCTTGATACAACAAGTCGACCAAGAAAATTCTAATCATATTGATGATTATTTTTATTTTTTTATATCACTACATATACTTTGTTTGTTTTTCTTTATCATTTCTTCGTTAAAATTCGCTACTCGAAGCCGATCCGTAACCGCGGTTTATCGTCGGTTCTTAGCACAATCGACGGTTACCGACGATTTTATGAAAAAAAGAGCGACATGGGTTTCCTTTATTAACTGACTTCACATCTTTTGTATTCGATCTTAAAAAGTTTGTAAATAATTATTTGATTCATCTTACCTTGATAGGCGAGCATATAGTCCGAGATTTTTTATAAGCTAATAAGTTTTATTCATTGACAAAGAAAGTAAATGACAACAAATAGTTATACTACTCCGTAGTTCCTAAGTCTTATTTTTGACAGTTTGGGATGATACATGAATGCTAAATCCGTGATTGATCAGTTCTAATGTTTCTGAATAATAGTTAGTGGTTTAGATTTCTTTGTACCAATTGTCTCACACAAACACGATAGAAGACAAGAATTCTTTCAAAAAATGCATTACGAAAGAATTTACTTGACACAATCGATGCATAGAAAGATATGGCATAATTGAAAAAGTATAAGGAGCTACCTAGTGTTTCCGCGAACGTTTCTGCAGCACGTTGATCGACTGTTGGACTCACGATGTTAAAGACGATGTTACGGTAACTTGCCGAACCAAAACGTAACGACGACAGCAATATGCTTAAGAACACTTGTATTATCATGACCTAAAATTTAAAAAAACTCACAGATCAATTGCATTATTCAATAAGGAGAGAAACTACTATACAAACTCATACCTTAATCAGTTTAAATTCGAGTGCTTTTCGATGAATCGGCGTAGGATTTCCTATCATTGTAATATTCACACGTTTTCGTGAATTTTTGAACGCTATCATAGTAATAACAGAAAAGATAAACATAAGACAATGCGGCAAAAGTATCACAACAATAATCAAATAGCCTGCATAAATAAATGTATAAATACTTCCTGGACTAATTTGACAAGTATTGTTATAAATATCAAAAAGAATAAGTATGTGTATTGACATAGCAATGCCAACTATCAGCATAGTAGCTGCCAGTCGTTTTGCAATTTTAATTTGACTCCATGCCCGTAGTCTAGCGTTGTCTGATGTACATAAAAATCGATCAAGAGTAGCAAATACCATATAATAGGAAGCAAGTGAAGGCAGTGCTACAGCAGAATAATAGCGTACTTTACAAAATACAGGCGATTGATTTTGTAAATTACTACCAGAATGA